AAAGCCCTGAGGTAAGTGGGGAAATGGGATACCGGGAGGAAGCACGAGCAGGAGAGTGCAAGAGGGGAGGACTCCTGTCTCAGACTGAGAAAGCGGGACAATCACTGAGTTATTTTAAGTGCCTATACACAAATGCAAGAATCCTGGGAAACAAGCAGGGAGAACTAGAAGTCCTGGTAGTCAAGGAACTATGATGTCATTGGAATAACAGAGACTTGGTGGGATAACTCACATGACTGGAGTACTGTCATGGATGGATATAAACTGTTCAGGAAGGACAGGCAGGGCAGAAAAGGTGGGGGAGTTGCACTGTATGTAAGAGAGGAGTATGACTGCTCAGAGCTCCGGTATGAAACTGCAGAAAAAACCTGAGAGTCTCTGGATTAAGTTTAGAAGTGTGAGCAACAAGGGTGATGTCGTGGTGGGAGTCTGCTATAGACCACCAGACCAGGGGGATGAGGTGGACGAGGCTTTCTTCTGGCAACTAGAAGAAGTTACTAGATCGCAGGCCCTGGTTCTCATAGGAGACTTTAATCACCCTGATATCTTCTGGGAGAGCAATACAATAGTGTACAGACACCTTCTCTGGGTCTGTAGCTATACCATCTGCAGACACGATGTGTCCCACATACCACACGGATGTCTGGCAAAAGATGCACTTGTCAAAGGATAACTTGAGGCCAGCCTGTTCCAAACGATCCAGGACTTTGCACAGCCGAGTCTTGTGTTCTTCTAAAGTGCGCCCGAACACTATCATGTCATCCAGGTACACCAGACACTCCAACAGGTGCATGTCCCCTACCACCCGCTCCATGAGTCGCTGAAACGTGGCTGGAGCTCCAGATACTCCCTGAGGCATGCGATTAAATTGGTAAAACCCTAAAGGGCAGATGAATGCTGTCTTCTCCCGGTCCTCTGGTGCCATGGGCACTTGATAGTATCCACTGCGGAGGTCAAGGACAGAGAACCAGCAGCTGCCATTCAGGCTATCCAAGGCGTCATCCACCTGGGGCATTGTGTATTGGTCAGGGATCGTCCGCCAGTTCAGAGTGCGATAGTCAATGCACATGCGCACCTTTCCACTTTTCTTTCGTACTACAACAATCGGCGATGCGTAGGGGCTCCTGGATTCCTCAATGATACCTGCTTGAACCAGTTCCTGTAGGTGCTGCCTCACATCTTCAATATCAGCGGGGGCTAACCGTCTTGACCTCTCTCAAAAAGGCCGACCATCCTGCATTTGGATATGGTGCTCCACATCATGTGCACACCCAACATCCCATTCATGCATAGAGAAAACAGCCTTCCTCTTGACTAACTTCTCACACAGGCGGTCCTTCCACTCAGCAGGAATGGGGGAATCCCCAAACTGGAAACTATCCCTCCCAAAAGGTCTAGCCTTGGTCTTCTCTTGGGATGGGGACCCCCTTGCTCGCTGGTATGCGGCTTTACATAAAGCGTGCATTGGCAGCTCCTGCAGATAGTTGTTCCCTGCCATCTCACGGCATTTCCACGCCAATCTTTGGAACAGGTTTGCATTTGTCCCTAGGATTAAAGGTGCATACTTTCTTCCCTTTGGATCTGGGCAGACCAGTGCCAATGTTTCTATTTCCTGGTTTGCCCCTACAACATTCTTTGGAAACTGAATATTTAACAAGATATATCCCAGATAGGGGAAGGAATCACAGCCAATTCCCCAGACTGTCAGGCCAGACAGGTGAAGCAAAGGTAAATGCTGCAGGTGTTCTCGGTAGTAAGATTCATAGAGTATGGTGACCTGTGATCCGCTGTCCAGCAATGCCTCACATGATCATCCTTCTATACGAACGGGTACTATAGCCTGGGGGCCTATCAGCCCATCTGGGTAACCCCTGTTTGTGTTTTTTTCTGGGGAGCCTTGGAATTTCAGGGTCTTGGGTTGCTCCTTCCCGAACCCCTGTTGGTGTTTCCCTGAAGCTTCCTAATGATCTGCTGCAATCTCTGAGATACCCTTGCATGATCTGTCTTGTTTTGGCAGTCCAAGGCATAGTGACCATCTCTTCCACAGTTATAACAGAAACCTGCTCGCTGGCTATCACCCCTCCTGCTACTCTCCCCTCTTGAGGATGGCACAGTATGACCCTGAGCCTTCATCATGGCCACTTCTCAGGTCAAATCTCTCAGTGCTGCTGCCACTGACGGGGCATCTTCCATCTCTCCAAGCACTGTAGTGGTGCGACTCCCTGCCATCTTCGGCTGCACCACTGCATCCACTTGCAACAATCGCTCCTCCTCTTCACGTATCTCTCAAATGAGCTTGTGGAATGGGGGTGGGTTTTGGGCCCGCTCCCTCAGCTGCAGTCGCCACAACATCAACCCATCTTGTTGGGTGCCCCGAAGGATTTGGTCCAACCTAGCGGAATCAATGCGCTTGGTGGGGATGCCCTCCTTCCGCACTACCTGCTATAGCAAATCCTCTAGTCTCCTGATGAAATCCGATAACCATTCGTGGGGCTCCTGATAGGTATGGCAGAACCGATAATACAGGTCTTCACTGCTATCAGTAGTACCGTAGACACTCTCAAGAGCAGTTAAATAATCTTGCACTGTGGCAGCTGGTTGTGAGTCTTTCAGGGCTCGGATAATTCGCATGGCAGGTCCCCTCAGACTCTCAAGCACACGTTTCCGCTTCTCAACATCAGAGCATTCCCACTCTTGGACAAGTGGCACCGTAAAATCCCTCCAGGTCTCATAATCCTCCTTTCCTGGGGGTACAGGTGACACCCCCGAGAATTAACGTAACCGCTTGTATGGAGCACTTTCATATACCGGCCTCAATGCATCTTTGAGAGTGTTTCCCAGTTCTTTGGCCCATCCCACCAGGCTGGGTGCTGCAGGTGTTGGAGCCCCTCCTAATGTCAAAATTAATTCTTCTCTTGTCCGCTTCTCATCCACCATCAGAGCTTGCAATTTCTGCGCTAAAGAATCCTCCTCAAGTGACACAGGCACACTAGGAGGGAACTGCTCTGCCCCCAGAATTGTCCAGGGAATACCTTCTACTTGCACCTCTTTGGGCACTTTATCAATATCTGTTTCCTTGGAGTGAGTACATAGTGCTACCATGCCCTTCACTTTGCGGTTGTAAATACGGGTGCGGACCTTTACTCTCCCCAGTATTTCAGCTGCATCTAAGCTCTCCTCAATTTCATTTGGTTCCATCTCTTCCGGGAACCCCGCAACTAGCACAGCTTTGGTTACTGGGATTCGTGCCCCTCGGCACAGGTCTTCTAATAATCCTCTCTCCATTTTTATTTTTTAAACTGAGATGAAAGTCACTCAGGAGTTTCTTTGCTCTGTGAAGAAGAGCCCAGGGTGCACAACGTAGGGGTGTGTGTGTGTGTGTACTGCAAAGTCCCCGTACGGGCCACCAAGTGTAACTTTAGCGCCCTCGTGGCCAAGATGGAGTCTGCTCTGCAGGCAGCTCTGGCCAAGAGAACGAGCGCGCAGGAATGCAGCAGGAGAAATCCCCTCCACCCCAGGGGCACCTGTTCCAACCCCCCCAGAGTGAACACACCCACCCACAGGAAAAGTACAGTGGATGTAACAAGGGAAATATTTATTTACAGAGGGAGGAGAGGAGAAAAACAACAAGGGGAAATATGGGGGGAGCAGTAAGACAGGGCTGCATCCAAGCCAAGGCCCCACAGGCTCAGTGGTAGCACAGTCTGGAAGGGCAGACACTGAGCAATGTGTCTGCACACAGAGTTCAGGAGTCCTGAGCAAAGTTCTAGTCCAGTGGTGAGTCTTGGGTGCTCCTGGTTGTCTTCGGCGCCAGTGAACTTTCCCCCAACAAACCCCTCCGGTGCCCTCTTCTGCCGCTCTCTGCAAAGCCACACAGAGCGACCACCTCCCCACTTAACTAGCTAGCAACCTCCCTCCTTGTTCCCAATGCAGAGTCACAAGCCCCAGTACTCACAGCGCCATGCAGCTCTGGGCAGCAGTGATACTGGGTCTGGGTCCAGCTCCGGCCTGTCCTTCTCGGGCAATTCCTCCCTGGCACAGTGCTGCTCCTGGCTCCTGTCCTGGGCTGTCCCCGATCGGCCCTGTCCTTCCCAGGCTTCAGGCAGGTTCTCTCTCTGCTTCACTTTTCCAGGGCCTGCAGGCTGCCTCCCCCTCTCCTTGGAGCTCCAGTGCTGCCCCCTGGAGTTTCCCTCCTTTTTTCTTACTCTCCCCCTCCCCCTTAGGAAAAAGATTTAAAGGGCCATGCTCTCTAAACCCCAAAGGGGTTACACAAATAACAATATTTGTCAGCAGTAATAAACAAGATCATTTGTTGTTGAAAGCAAGTAATTAAGATGGCAGATCACAAAGTACGGAGTAAAAACTACAGTTCAAATTTTATTGGAGAGTAACTTGATGGCATAGGTTCATAGCCATAAAATGAATAACAGTGCTGTTCTAGAGATGGCATCACAGATAATATAGAGATAAAATGTAATTCAAATTCATTGCTGAGAAACTTGATTTCAAAGATACATTGGGATAAATTTCAGAGTAGCAGCCGTGTTAGTCTGTATCCGCAAAAAGAACAGGAGTATTGTGGCACCTTAGAGACTAACAAATTTATTTGAGCATAAACTTTTGTAGGCTAAAACCCACTTCATCAGATGCATGCAGTGAAAAATACAGTAGGAAGATATATATATACACAGACACATGAAACAATGGGTGTTACCATACACACTCTAACGAGAGTGATCAGTTAAGGTGAGCTATTACCAGCAGGAGAGGAAAAAAACTGTTTGCAGTGGTAATCAAAATGGCCCATTTCCAGCAGTTAACAAGATGTGAGGAACTGTAGGGGGGAAAGAAATAACCCTGGGGAAATAGTTTTACTTTGTGTAATGGCCCATCCACTCCCAGTCTTTATTCAAGCCTAATTTAATGGTGTCCAATTTGGAAATCAATTCCAATTCAGCAGTCTCTCATTGGAGTCTGTTTTTGAAGTTTTTTTATTGTAATATTGTGACTTTTAGGTCTGTAATCGAGTGACCAGGGAGATTGATGTGTTCTCCAACTGGTTTTTGAATGTTATAATTCTTGACATTCAAAAACCAGTACTCCTGTTTTTATTGGGAAAAATGAGTGGCAGTGCCACTTTAAGCTCATTCATCTTCTCTTATAGAACAAATTCTCATTAATGTTTCTTTGTGGGAATTTTTAAAGAATGGATAAACCACTTCTGAGAATGAACAATTATTAAATGTGAACAACACAGACATGTCATTTACATTGAAAAAGGTCACCTGCCCCTCTTGGTAACTAAGGTAAACTCCAATTTTCTGGGGCTTTTTCTGTACCATGACCAGGGTCCATGGATCTGTTTTTGCCCAATAATCTCTCCCACTCTGACCCAGAGCCCAGAATCCCTCTTTAGGGGACAGGGAAAGTTTTCCTTTTCTCTTTATGGATTTTCTGGCCACTCCCAGGTCCCAGTCAGTGCTGCTTCCAACATCCACTGCCCAGTAGTGCTCTCCAGAGGAGAATCCTTCAGAGCTCAACACACAGACAGTCGAATCGAACCTCTCTGGAGTTGGTGGAACTTTCTGAGGTTGGGGTTCATGAGTAAATTTCTTCCTATCCTCAGAAATGGAGAGGTTGGGGTGAGTTGTGTCTGGATTAAGAGTGATGTCATCTGCAAAGAGAGAATTTAAGAAACCCTTACCTAATTGCAGTATAAACTGGAACATGGGAGATATGGCTTGTGGGCCAATTCCTGCTGTCCTTACTCAGGCAAAATGCCTACTGATAACGGGTTTTGTTCTATTCTGATAATTTGGTTACACTGAAATATTTCAGAGATGTGATATTTGATTGAACTTTATACAGAAATGGGAGGGATCCTATCTTATTGATACTCAAATGTGCCAGATTCTGATATAAGTTACAATGGTTGAAAGAACAGAACGAGTAAGACCTGAGAGGAAATGGAGTAAAGCCCCAGTTGTTATCTCCATGATAACAATATGTTCTGTTTCCAGGTTTTTAAACTATGAAGATGATTTCTGATTACCAGGAGAGATGTGTATTCTATTACCTGAGTACTTGTGAGTCCTTCTCCATTCTGAAATGAAAGTGAGAAAAAACAGACATTGAATTCACAGAGGCATCTACTGCCAATTTTCCTCCTTTTGCAGAAATATCCCAGGTTGGGGATAACTGATGATCAAAGTGGGTGAGGTAATATCTTTTACTGGACCAATTTCACCCACCTTGTCTCTCTAATATCCTGGGACCAACATGGCTACAGCTACACTGCAGATAACTGAGATTATCAGACACAATACAGAGTGATTTAGTTGTGCAGAAAAGAGAAAGTAAAGCACATTCATGGTACACACATACTGTGGTTATTGTACAATTTTGGGCCCCATATGTGGTTCTCATAGAGTCACCAGGTCTGTTCCATCCTTCACTCATACCTCAGTCTCAATCAGAGAAAGCAGACCACAAGAAAATGTGTGTGGTGGTGCTGGGAATATGAGTAGCTGCATTATATCTGCCTGGAGCTGCTGTCTTCCCTGCTATGAGAAAGATGAAAATGGGCTACAACAGCCAGGGAGATAGGAGAGGAAAAGATGAGAAAGCCCTGCTCCCGCCAAATAACCTAAAGAGCCTTAGGTCAGGCGTGGAAGTGAAGAGATTCCCTCTCTACCAGCCCCCAAAGACATGCAGGTGCACCCCTCAGGCCTGGCCACTGTGAGAGGCATTCGAGGGGCTCCCACAATCTTCAAGTTTGCAGAAATATGTGTCTTGTCTTCCCCAGACCTCAAGGGCAGGAGGGTAGTGGTGGAGAAAACAATTGATATATCAAAAAATCAGCAAGGGTAAAAGAATATTTCATATTTTGAGTGTGGGACACTCACACACAGTCACTATCTCACAGGACATGATCCTACTGCCATTATTGACATCAGTGGCAAATTCCAAATCACATAATTAGAGACACATTTTCAGGGCCTAACTCCCTCTATATTCACAGACACGTAAGGATTTATTTGGGGTGAAATTCATCCCTGGACAGCGAACAACCGCTAGGACTCTGCAGCAGAAGATAATCACATA